AGAAATCTCTGGGGCCTTGGGTAGTAGATCAGTGTTTACCATGGCACACAAATGAACTTTAGGAGCCTGTTCCACATGGAGGGATGCTCTCTCAGCATGGACACATGGGGAAGGGCCTAGGTCCTGCCCTGGATGAAATGACAGATTCTGGATATCTCCCCAAGGAGGGCCTCACCCTCCCTGGGGAAAGATGTGGGGATTGGGCTGGGGGTGGCGCTAGGGGTAGGCCTGGGAGGGAGAAGAGGGGAGCTGGGATTGACATTTGAAGTATGCATGTATCTAATTTAAATAAAAAAGGAAAAAAGATCCTGCCACTGTGACTTCATCACCTTGAACTGTGATATAAAATAAATTCTGTCTCCACCAAATTCATTTTGCAACAATGTGCTGATATCTTCCCTATTGTTTCTGGTTCTTGTTAGTAAAATGTGAACAGAGTCATGCATGTCATTCTTCAACTGGTGGCTTCACTTCCCCCACAGAATCTTGCATAAATTATCATGAATGCAGTAGTTTGGAATAATGAGGCCAGTTTATTGAATTATAGTTTGGGAGGTCAGAAGTCCCAACTGATACTACGTGTAGGGGAATCCAATACAGTCTCCTTCCTTTAATATTTGTGTTGTAGCTTCTTCAAATGAGTTTTAAAAATATTTACTTTTAAAAAAGTTTGTGTGTGTGCATGTGTGCATGTGTGCACTTGTATACCATGTCTGTGCAGATGCCTGTGGAAATCAACAGAAGATGATGTTGAATCTCCAAGCTCTAGGGTTACAGACCTGCTGTGGGCTGCTCAACATGGATTCCCTGTGAGAGCAACAATCACACCTAACGACTGAACAACTTTTCAGCCCCCATGAGATTGGGTTTTAACATGTAAGTTTTGATGGGGGGAGGCACACAACTGTTCAACATACAACAGCATAAAAGTGTCAGATGAAAAATCAAGGAACTCCTTAGGAGCTGGAGTCTTACATTTGGCTCCAGAGTTGTGATATGAGGATTGAATATGCAGTAGCCCCTGACCCCATCCCTGTCATTTCTTTATCTCCCACACTGGATTCCTATTGGCTATGTGAAGCTTGACACCCACCTATTCATCAAGAAACAGATAAATAAAGAAAATTTGTTGTATTACACAATGGAATTTTATTCAGCCATGAAAATAAATAAAATTACATCAGGCCTCAGAAATAGAGCATCTAGAGCCAGTCCATGCAAAGACAATGCTAGTTGGAGCCTTCATGTGCTGGAAACTGGCCCTGGGCATGTAGGCTACCTGCTTTCTTCTCCACTTAGGAGGGATTGGGGGAGTAAAGGGATGACAAATCTGAGGTGAGTGCCCTCATAACACCAGGTTTTGTGCTACTAGACAGTAGGTTAGATCCACATCTGGGAGGTTTAACCAAGAGTAGATTGTGGCTGAGTTATAGGAGCATCACACCCTATTGCTCTTCAAGGCTGTGTCAAGTTCAGAATACCTAACATAGGAAAATAATTCTTAGGGAAATAAATGGGTCTGCAGTTTATTGTAGTAAGCAAAATAAAACAGACTCAGAAAAACAGATATCTAATATTTTCTGTCATATATAAAACATGCATTATGTAACACACACACACACACACATATGCAGATCTCTTTCTTGTCTATTCAGTCCCCTTTAGGATTTTATGTAAGTCACTCTTCTCTACTCTTGTTTCAATGGTAATACAAGAATAAAGGGAGGGAAGGGGAGTGGGTAAGATTCATAGATGAGAGAGAGAAGTGGGAGAGGCATTTAACTGATTTCTTTTTTGGTCAACTTGATACAAGCCACAGTTATTTGGGTAGAGGGGATCTCAACTAAGAAAATGCCTCCATCAGATCAGCAAGTGAGCTGTAGTAAAGGCTTTGGATGTGCATTTTCTTGGCCTACCTCACAGTGGGTACTGCTTCCCCTGGCATGGTGAACCTAGGTTACACAAAAAACGAATACTGAGAAAGCCATGAGTAGGAAGCCAGTGAGAGGCATTTCTTTATAGACTCTAGTTCAGTTCCTGTCTCCAGGCTCCTGCCTTGACTTCCTGCCCTTATTTCCCTCAGTGATAGCTACCTGGAAGATTCAGGTAAAACACATCTTTCCTCCTCAAGTTACTTCTCATTCTGGTGTTTAATCACAGCAATTGAAACCCTAGATAAGCATGAAATCTATTTTTTAACATATTATCCATGCAGCTCAGTATTATTGACTGTAGGTGTTATGTTGTCTTAGAGTTATTCATATTAGTTGACTAAAGTTTTGGTCTATTAGTAAATAACTTCCCCAGTTTTTTTTCTGGTAGCCAACATTCTAATCTTTGCTTTTATGAATTTGTCTTTATTTTCTATTTTGTAGTTTTCAAAACAGAATCTTATTATATACTCAGGTTAGACCATAACCCATGATATATTGCTTACTGACCTTGCACTCAGGGTAGTCCTCCTGTCTCATACTCCAAAGTGCATGGATTCCAGGCATGGGTCAGCATTTCCAGTTTGAATATGACTACTTAATGTGCCTCAATTGAAGGAAACACTCTGCCACCTGTCCTTCTGGAATTGTTTGTTTTACTGGGTCAATCAATTTCTTGAAGTTTCAGTTATATTATTTCTAATTATGGTGTCCTAGCTGGTTTTGTGTGTCAACTTGATATAAGCTAGAGTCAGCAATGAAGAAGCTTCAGATGAGGAAATGCCTCCTCCATGAGGTCCAGCTGTAAAGCATTTTCTCAATTATCAGTCAATGCTGGAGGGACAAGTCCATTTTGGGTAGTGCCTCCCCTGGGCTGGTGATCCTGAATTCTATAAGAAAACAGACTAAGAAAGCCAGCAGAAGCAAGACAGTAAACAATACCCCTCAATGGCCTCTACATCAGTTCCTGCCTGCAGGTTCCTGCCATGTTTGAATTCCTGTCTTGACTTCCTTCAGTGATGGACTATAATGTAGACACATAAGCAAAACAAACCTTTCCTTCCAAAGGTGTTTTTTAGTCATAGTGTTTTATCACAGCAATAGAAACCCTAACTAAGAGAAATTGATACCAGTGTAGTAGGGTAATCCTCTGACAGACCTGACCATGTTTTGGGGCATATTGTAGAAGGACTTTGGAACTTTGGGCTTGAAGATCCATTGAGTGTTCAGAACCCAGTGGGATGCCCTTGAAGCTTGGACAATAAGAAAGTTAAAATCAGTACAGAACATGGAGGCCTGCCTTGTGACATTTCAGAGAGAAGTTTAAAGACTCTACCAGGGCCATTTGTTATTTTGAATTAAGATTTTGCTTGGTCTGTTTGTGACAGTATCCTAGTTCTTTCCTATTGAAGAAGATATTTAATTTAGTTGTGAGTTTTAAAGGATCTCACAGATGAAAGACCTGAACTTTTAAAAATGAGGGGTTACTTTAAAGAGACTGAAATTTTAATTTGTTTGAATTTGTAAAGACTGTGGAACTTTCAAAATTATTTGTGATGCTAATGTGAGATCTTGGGGATGAATAAGAAAGGAAGAGTAGTGGTTTAATAAGGATTTGTTTATGAATCAAGTTGACAAGGGGGTCATTTGTACTAGGTGGTTTTGTGTGTCAACTAGGTAAAAGAGTCAGCAGAGAGGAAGAAGCCTCAGATGAGGAAATGCCTCCATAATATTCAGCTGTAGGGGATTTCTTAATTTAATGATCAATGGGGGAGGGCACAGTTCATTTTGGATGGTGCCATCCCTGGACTGGTAGTCCCGGGTTCTTAAGAAAGCAGGATGAGCAAGCCAGAGGAAGCAAGCCAGTAAGAAGTTACCCTCAATGGCCTCTGCATCAGCTCCTGCCTCCAGAGTTCTGCCCTGTTTCATTTCCTGTCCTGGCTTCCTTCAGTGATTAATAGCAGTGGGTATGTTTAAGCTAAATAAATCCTTTTGTCCACAACTTGCTTTTTGGTCATGGTGTAGAAACCCTAACACACACACACACACACACACACACACACACACACACACACACACACAGAGAGAGAGAGAGAGAGAGAGAGAGACATATATATATATACATCACATTTTCTTCACCCATTATTTCTCTATCATAGCTCTTGCGAATAGTGTTGGAATGGTTACACGAGAACTAACATCTCACTTCCCCTTACTTAGTTTCTATTTTTAATTTTTTTGTGTCTGAAATATTCATGCTACTTCCAAAGAGGAAGAACTTTCTTCTATCTACTTTACCATCTTTGTTCCATTAGTGGAAGGGAGGGAGCATCTCAGGTCTTCCCAAATGATTCTGACACATTTTCTCAGCGACAGATTTCCTCAGACCTGTTGAGTCCCAGCATTCTTGTTAACAGTATGAAAAAGATCCATTCTCTCCACCCCTGAATACAATTGTTATCTCTTAAAAATATCATCTGGGTCAATGAGATGGTTCACTGTGTAAAGATGCTTGCTTCCAAGCCTGACATTCTAAGCTTGATCCTTGGGACCTACATAGTAGAATGAAAGAAATGGCTTGCAACTTGTTCTCTGAGCAGCCCAACCCCCCTCACACAATCCCCTCACACACACACACACACACACACACACACACCTTGTGCCATGCACACACACATATACACATAATAACACATTGTTTATAACAGGACACTTTGAACATGTGAATTATCTAATTGGGATATTACAAAGATGATAACATCACACACTGTGAGAGACTTTATGGTCCTCATCTTAAACATGAGGATATGTGAGTTTTGGATGCTGAAATGTCTTGCCTGAATATGGATGGCCATTGCATTTACAATTGGGACTGACAGGCACAATCTGATATTTCTCTGTCTCCCATATTTACAAAGAGACAAGCATATTAATGAATGAGCTCAGTTACACCTGAACTCAGGAACTGCTGTAGTTTTTAGAATCTGACACCTTCTCACAGAGTCACTAGGAGAAAGAGTGGAAAGGACACAAAAGAAACCTCTTCCTTTTCCTGTGAGGAAACTGATACAGAAATCTTGTAATGAGCCCCAGTCCACACACCCTGCCTCTTGGGTCCACTGCAGGGTTGCAGCTCCAGACCTGGTTGGGTTGCTGGCATCTGAGACATGTCACTTCATCCTGCCATGGTGCTGGCCCTCGGTGAGTCCTGGGAGAAATGGAGGGCTGGGGCAGATGATTTGAGGAAGGGAGTCTATTCTGAACTCGGGCCTGAATCCAGCCACATAGATTCTGGAGGCCCCTGGGAAGAGAGTCTCTTCACCCAATCTCCTACTTGGAAGATACTTCTGTGCACTTACTGATAGGAATAGGAATGGGCCATGTAGCCAAGTTAGATGTGAAAGGAGTTAGGAAGAGTCCGTTTGGAAGGAAAGATGAATTGGAGGCATTTGTTTTTCTGGATTTTGGAAGTTGAACTCAGGGTCCCATTCATGCTAGGTAAGCACAATACCAGAGAGTTATATTCCTTTCATCTCAGTCTTAGTTTTTTAAGTTCACAAGTGTTATGCATTAATGAGTACCATAGTTAAGAAATTCTTTTCTTTTCAAAAAACATTTATGAGCTTTTATAGGCTTTTTATTTAAAAACTATCTTTTCTAATTTTTCATACCAATCACAGTTCCCACTCCCTCCCATCCTTCAATTCTTCCTTTCTCCTACCCCACCCCCATCCACTCCTCAGAGGCTTCCAATGCAGCGTCAGTGAAGTCTGGTACTTCTTTTGAAGACAGGCTAATGAATCTGTCTGTGCCTTTCCCCTTCCCAGAATTCTCTTAGCCTGGTAACTCTGCTTATACTTCCTGCCTGGCTACTGAGAAATTATCATTTTACTAAACCAATAAATGTGACAAATCTTTACAGTGTACAAGAACATTATATCACATCAATATGGGATGTGCCTACCTATATTTAGTCCTTCCTAGATTCTCATCTCTAAGCAAACCATGTGATAAGTGTCTTTATCACTGGAATTTCTGTGACACTAAAAATAAAAGACCCAGAGGCTGATACTGGGGTTCAAGCTGAATGTCGGAAAAGCAAAGTAGTGAGCCACTATCTCTCACCCTTCCTCAGGCTAAAAGGGTTGATCCACTAATGAAGTCTTCACCAAGTCTCAAGCCACTGCCTCTCTTCAGTGTGACTGGAGAATGAAAAGCCTCTCCACAGCCTTGCTTCTGTCTTATATACTTCCCTAATGTTGGGATTAAAGATGTGATCTATAATTCTCTTTTAGACTGATTCACTCTTGTGTAGATCTGGGTGGTCTTGAATTCACAGGGATCTGTCTACCTCTTAATCCCGAGTCCTAGCTACAACCTCCTAGCTTCTGGATGCTGGAATTATAGATGTGTGCCTGACTTCTACAGCCTGTACTGACTTTGCTTTCTGAATCATCGGGCAAGCTTTAATAGATCATAAACAATGTTTCACGACAGATTTCTCTTTCAGTGCTGTGCCTGGAACAGACAACTAAGACTCAGAAAGGTGAGTCATGTCTTTGGTTGCTTCTGCACCTGTGAGAAGCTTTGAAGAGGATCATGTGCACTTGGGAGGCCTGGATGAAGACCACTGAATATATTCTCTAATCATGAACATCCCCAGAGAGGCAACCTTCAATCCTCTTCCTTTTCTACCTACAGTCCTTTGATTTCTTATTTAAAATGTTTTCGTTTGACAAATAAAAAGGTTTATATTTATGGGATGCAGCACCCTGTTTGGTGTGTGTTTACAATGTGCTACAATTAAATTAGGGTAAATTACATGTCCATCACCTCTGTCACTAATTATGTTTTAGATGTAAGGATGCTACATATCTAACATTGTTGGAAATTTTAAAGAAACAACCTGTCACTGTCGTGCATTGTAGATATCAGGAAATGCATTTCTCTCACCTAAATGTAAGTTCACATCTTTTTCTGTCTCCATTTACCCTGCCCTTAGCCTCTGATAACCATTTTACTCTCACTTTGTTAATCTCTGAGATGAGTATCTTTACATTCTCTGCATAACTGAAATCCAGTGGTTTTTCTCATTCCGTGACCAGCTTATTCCACTTAACTTCCTCTGGATACATTCTGGTTGATACCAACAGCAGCATTTCCTTTCTGAAGAGTGACCAATATTACGTGTTTGTACACCACATTTCTTTATCTATTTATCTATTCACCCACATTCACCGCCCTGTGAAGAATGTGGCAATGAGATATCTCTATGACTGGCTGTGTGCAGAGACAATTCTCTTCAGGATGACAAGCCTTACAGCCAAGAGAGTTCTCTACATCACCCAAATGTATCTTAGTATCCACTTAGCAAAGGTCTTGGTATGCCTCAAAGGCAGCACATGAGAATTTGCACTTGACCTACTGTTCCATCTTCTTATGAACAATATGTCACTAGGTCCTGTTAACACCACCCCCATTAAACTCTCATTATTTACTTCTTTTGTTTGTTCTAATATAGATTATCACTCAGTATTCCTGATTAGCATGGAACTTGCTACGTAGACCAGGCTGATGTAGAACTCATAGAGTTCTACCTGCTCTGCCTCCTGAGTGTTGCTATTAAATGCGCACACCACCACACCCAGCCTAAATCTTTCTCTTTGCATAAATTTCTGCTCACTTCTCACTAAGCTCCTACCCTCCTCATTTGTTACTGCTTCTCTCATGTCTTCTCTGCTTGTCTATACCTCCTATGGCTTTCACCCTTCTTGGAGCTATAGAGTTTGCCCCTTGTCATGCAGAAGCACAGTTATCTTCCCTTTACTTTCTCCACGATTTGAAAATTTAACCCCAAAGCTTTCATGTTTTATCCCAGAGGCTTCACAATTTTTCCTCAATATATGTTTTTATTTAAATTAGAAACATACATACTTCACATGTCAATCCCACCTCCCTCTCCCACCCCTCTTTCCTTGTCCCTCAACCAGCCTCCCCAGCCCCCACCCCATCCCCACATCATTCCCCAGGGAGGGTGAGGCTCTCCTTGGGGGTATCTCCAGAATCTGTCATTTCATCCAGGGCAGGACCTAGGCCCTTCCCCATGTGTCCAGGCTGAGAGAGCATCTCTCTATGTGGAATGGGCTCCCAAAGATCATTCATGCACCATGGTAAACACTGATCCAAGGCCCCAGTGATTTCTGTGATCTCCTCACTGGCAATACATTCATGGAGTCTGGATCAGTCCCATGCTGGCATCTCAGCCATCAGTCTGGGATTCAAGAGCCCCCCTCCCCGCTTATCTGGTCAGCTGTATACCCACAGCTAAACACTGAACTGAACTCCTGGAACCTAGTGACAGAGATGGAGGCGTGATGAGCAAAGGGGTCAAGACCATGATGGTGAAACCCACAATTTTTCAATCTCCTCTAACCCCATAACAGTCTTTTCTGACCCTGTGAACTGGGCATCATCTCTTCTTAATCTTTAAAAAAATATTTTAATGAAATATAATTACTCCATTTTCCCCCTCTATACTCTGTCCAACCCCTCCTACGTCCATGCTTTTCATGATCCCTTGCAAATTCATGACCTCCTTATTAGTGTTACATACATATACATATATATATTAAAATAAACATATAAATACAACCTGCTGTGTGGTGTTTGGTGTTGCTTATATCTGCGTGCACTTAGAGCTGGCCACTTGGTATTAAATAAACAACTAAGTTGCTAATTCCTAGGAAATCCTTCTCCCTCTCTCAGGATCCATTTAATCCTTGTAGCTCTTCATCAAGGAGATCTGTGAGACTCCCCTCACCGAATCTGGCATATCAGCTGCTGTCGTCTTTGTTCAGGACCTATTGTTGATGTATCATGGGAAGGAGAGCCACATTCACTAGTCTGGACTGAAGCACTGAATTAGCAGGTCAGGTTGGGTCTGGGGGTGGGATGTTTCATAGTTTATCTTGAGAATGAATCAGACACATGTGCTTCTCAGAACTGGTGACTTAGCCCAGCTACAACCTGCCCACCTCCTCCTGCCAGACTTACTTATCTCTAAGTTCTTCAACTGTCTTTTGTTTCTCAATGAGTCCTGTTTCCTCTCAACTCTGGGTTATTGCACAGGATTATTTTTAATTTAATTTTTAGATGATGAAAATCCCATTTATTTACCACATTGTTCTTCATATTTTGAAGCAAATACATGTGCGAAAATGAATAAATCATGCCAATTAGCATATGATTTCTTCTGCATATTGGGAAACACTTAAACTCAGCTCTCAGTGACTCTGAAGAACAATAGTCTTCGTATTATCTACAGAATGTCCCACAGCTGATCTCTTGAACTGCTTCTTCTTGTTGAGTTAAGGGTCTGTGTCCTCCACGTGGCATTTTACATAATATTTTATCAGTGTTTGATTCTCCATGCCCCTGCTTGCTGGATCCTTTTTCTTGAATGTCAGTGAAAGTATTTCTTCCCCGTCATCACAGGGAGTACAGCTGTGATCTCACTTGTTCTTTGTGATTCCTATGCTTACCTCTCACTTTCATTGCAGTCGTTTTGTTACAGTATCACACAATTATTCTGTCTACATCGGTCCTCCTTCCCATACTTCAGCTTCAAATGGAAGCAGTTGTGTTTATTGTATAAGTGAAACCATGGAAACACAGAAGGCACCCCTAAAAGATGAATAAGATATGAAATATGGTTGAAAGAATGAATGGAAAAAGAAGAGAGGATTAGCAAATGTTGGTTTAAGGGCATAAAATATCATTTACACACAAATAAGGACAGGAGCCTTATTGTGTATTGTGGCTAGCAACCCTGCATTTGTAAGCTTGGAAACTGCCAAGAGATTTGTAAGCTTGGAAACTGCCAAGAGTAGGGTGGTAAATAACCAGCAAGCCAAATTAACGAGATGATCCAGGTTTATATGCTGGATCCAGTTGTTCCACAATTCACAACAAAACATCACTTTGAACACAGAAAGTGTGAGCATTAAATTTGTCACTTGATGTAAGAATACACATGAGTGATGTTATGGCAGTGCTCTTAAATACAGACAGTTTGAAGCAGATGGGGCTTTAGCACCCTAATAACAGGACCTAGAGAGAAAGACAAAGTTAGAAAAGGCAGAGGACACTGGCATAAGCAGGGAGGCAGCAGGTTCTGTAGCAGTCATGTCCAGCCTGGGATGTTCTGAGATTTTCTTGGATGGATCTTTGTTGGACCTGACCTGTGCTCAGGTTTAGGTTCCTTATTGTCATGTGGTGGGAAATCAAATTCATGCAGAAAAGTGGGGATGTTATAAAGCTGAATTTTGATGATGTTTGGAGAACTCTAAATCTTGTAAGAATATAGAATGGTGTACCTGAATTGGTTTTGTGTTGTGTCAATGTCCTGCCTGTGTACTCTGAGATTCTTGCTCCAAGACGTCTGTCGAGTCCTTCCATCTCTGCTGAACCAGGCAGTGACCTCAGGTTTCTTTCAAGGTCCTTGGACTCTAATCCTAACTGCTCTCCTGCCTCAAACTCCCCTGATGTATCTTAACACCAAGGATCCTTTCTCTCACCTCCCTCAACACATGTCCCCTCTGCCCATACACCTCAGATTCCTGGAAATTTAATCTTAGCTGACACCAAAAATGACCTGGATACAGCTGCAAACTTGAGAGTTGGTATAGATCTGTCCCTGTTTACTGGTTAGACTGATGCCCAGCAATTGTGAGGGTAGACTCAATTCAAGGTGATCTTTTCACTGGTCATGTTGAGTTATCCTTTCCTTCCACTGAGTCAGAGCCTGTGGTAACTGCAGGAATCTATCTCCTATGCTGTGGTCACATCTCAGTGGCCAGGTCATATGATCTGGTGTTGGCTTCTGGGAAGGCCTTAACTGTCCTTTTGGGAGTGCTTTCATATGGAATGGCGGGTCTCCGTTTAGTTAGGCATCAGATTTCCTGGAGTCAGGATTCAAGAAAAACTTTCATTTTACTACTATGTCCTCCCAGGTCTTTCACAGAGATTGTCAGTGCTGATTCTGTGACGACAAACTGAGTTAGTGAGGGAGAAATATAAGGAAGACCAAACCACAACAGCAGGGAGTTAACAGGGCATCTGTTGGGTTTTCTCTTTTCCCTGTCCTGTCATTTCAGGTCTCTCTCATGGTCTGGGTTTGAGTGATTGGCAAGTCAACCCTTTTGGATCACTATGTAGGATGGAGGAGAAGTCTACATAGGTCTCTTCACAAGTTCTCAATTCTTCACCCTACCTCTTTGCAGGTGTGGTAGTTTAAGAGATTACATTCTTGACATCCCAGCCAGCTATCCACTTATCTTTGGATCCAAGATCAGGATGTCATACATACTATTTTGTCATTGTTGTTTTGCTTTGATTTTTATAAACAACAGTGAAGGCTCTCTGTATGTAATCTTTGTTGGTCTTAGAACTTCCTACATAGACCAAACTGGTCTAAACTCACTGAGGTGCTCCTGTCTCTGTCTTTTGAGTTTTGGGACTAAAGGCACATGCCTCAATTCCCAGTGACCCTTCTATTTTTAAAATGGAGAAAATTAACTTTCTTGTTCAAAGATACCAAGTTCTAAAGACTCTGGGACAGAAGCAGTGCCTGCGGCAATGTGGCATACTTCTGTTTGCACAACTCTGTGCTGCTCCCTTGTGGTCTGAGACTCACCACACACATTGCTGTCTTTTGTGATGGATCTGTTTAGGGCCTTCCTTGCAAGTTCAGACCTCAA